CCATGAATCAGAGGTTTCATATTTGCCAACCCCATAAGCTATTGGCAGTATTCCATTGTTAGCATCCATAGCTACTGCTAATAAGTTTACTCCAAGGTATCGACCTTTCAAATGTGCTCCATCAACTATAATAACTGGGCGCATGCAAGTAATAAACGAACGAATCTACAAAATAATATACACAAGACATAATCATTTAAATGTGAAATGCATGTAACTAACAAAAATGAGTCAACAAAATTATATTGATTTACTAACCGCAGCACCAATGGCGATAAACAGCAACCCAAAGCATCTGTCTCTATCTGTTTTGATATGAGTTACCGACCCATGATTTTTTAGCTTTAAATTATGACAATAAGCTGACAGTTGGGCAAACGATGCTTCTGGAGACCCCCTCAATAATTCCAAGGCATAGCATTTGGCTCTCCAAGCTTGAGAATATGATACACTAATCTTGAACTGAGCATTCATGTCAGTCATAATTTCATGTCCCCGATATACCCTACCATTCAAAAACATTAACTCAGCCAGAAAACCACCCAACACCTTTTTGTTTGCCTGTCTATGGTGAGGAAAAACTTGGGTTCTTGAACATGTATGTTTATCAATAAAAGTCCTAACTTGAAACATTTCGCAATCTTTTATCCTCTTTGCAATCATACGCCACGTACAGTTTTTTTCAATCATACACTTTGTTTCGAAACGATCTTTGTTTGATTTGTTAACTTTTAGTTGATAGCCATCTTCCACACATTTCGTATACAAAGCTATCTTCAAGTCTTCCTTTGTATCAAAACAATCATCTTTCTTGATACGAATAACTTTTTTGTAACAATCAACTGCTATCTTTACCAACTCTTCTTCCGGCATCTGAAGTAATTCTGGCATATTCCAGTTATACTCCCGTGGTATTTTCTTCTTTTTCTTTTCTTTGGGGACTTCTTCTTCTTCTTTTTCTTCTTCAAGGTTATATGAATTACATAATGGATGTTCAACATGTTCATTCACAATAGTAACTTCCTCCTCATTATTATCAACAATATCTTCCTCGACAGCGGCTGTTTCATCATCAAAATTTGGGTATTGACTAATATCAAAATCATTACATGCAGGGTCTGTTTCTTCTTCTGAAACATCATCAAAATCCGAGTATTGACCAATATCAAAGTCCGGGTATTGACCAATATCAAAGTCTGGGTATTGACCAATATCAAATTTTGAATACTGACTAGTACTCACAATTTTTTCTGTTGGCTCATAATCGTCTAACTGGTCAATACGAAAACTGGAATTTGGTGCTGAAAGTTGATTGAGATTTGGATTAGGAAAAGATTGTGGGTTTTGAGACTGTGTTTGATATTGTGTTTGGTATTGGAAATGTGGTGAAACAAAATTTTCTTGGTGATGAAATTGTAGTGGAACCATTAAATTTTGAGGTTGATAACAACGTTGTACATTGTGAGCATCATAAACTGGGGTTGAAGAACTTAGTTGATTACTACCCACTACTGACCCAACTTCACTACTTCTAGGTTCAACAACATACAATGTAACATCATCTTCTTGCAAAACACTAATGTAAGCAATGAATCGTTCAACATCTTCATTGTCGGTTAACAAATAAACTTTACCTTTTCTCTGATAAGATAGCCTAAATCCACTTAGAGGCTCTAAATTCAATTTCTTTGCAACACGTAACATTAGAGTTTCATAAGTTAACTTTTTTAATGACAGTTTTAGTTAAAGATTCATGGGTAAAGGCATATATTGTAAAACACCATGAATATTCTCCCATGACCCTCAAAAACACAAATCTATCCAAACATGATCAATATTAGATGATTTCATTCTACAAATTATAAAATTAATTTACTAAACAAACGAGCTATAAACTACATATCATCACTAACTTAGAGAAAAACATACCTTTATTAAGTTGACAGTTAATAATTTGGGAGAGAAATCATTGAAAAATTATATAGAAATAAAATTATGTAAAACAAATAGAGATGTGGAAGGATGTCGTTGGATATAGGAACGAATGTCATCAGAAAGAGTGATAGATGGAGATAGAATGAGTTCCAATTTAGGGATTAAGGTTATGAGTTGTTGCTACTGCGTAGTTATATACCCAAAACATTTGTGTTACGAAACTAAAACATGTTATGAAATTAAAATTCATGTTGCGAATTCGAAAACCAAGTTGCGAAAACAAAAATTCCCGTTACGAATTCAGAAATCGAGTTGGGAATTTGAAATTCAGTGTTGTGAATTTGGAAAATCACAACGCGTTTTACATATTCGCGTTGCGATTTTGAAAATTGCGTTACAAATTTGGAAAATCGCAACGCGAATTCGGAAAATTGCAGTGCGATTTACATATTCGCATTGCGAATTTGGAAACTGAGTTACGAAATTGGAGTTCGCGTTGCGAATTTGTTGGTCATTTTCGTAAATCCAAAAAAACTTGGTTAAAATCATATATTATAAGGCATTTTCGGTCACTGAAGTTATTTTCTCAAAATTTAAAGGGTAGATGGTGTAAACTCTAAAACATCATAGAGGAGAAGTGATGACTTGTCACGCAGGATTGGGGCTCTAGTATACACCTTGAGGCATTGGCCATTCACCTTAATGATTTAGCCATCGTCGAGGTTCTTGATACCCTCAGCTTCATTTGGGTACACGTGATGCACTTGAAAGAGTCTATACCATCAAGACTTTAGTTTGCCCGGGAAAAACTTTAGCCTTGAATTGTATAGGAGGAATTGTTAGCCTTCATGGAATTGCCTCGGTAAAATAATTTTGTTGTGAAAATGTTTAGTCTTATCCTTGTATAGGCGGGCACTCTCATAAGCTTGGGCACAAAATTCCTCAATTTCATTTAGCTCTAGCAACCTTTTCTCACCAGCTAGTTGGGCATCTATGTTGAGCTTCTTGATTACCCAGTAGGCCTTATGCTCTAGCTCGATGGGTAAATGGAATACCTTGCCATAAACAAGTGTGAATGATGACATTCCCACTGGCGTTTTAAATGTTATGCGATAATCCCAGAGTGCTTCATCCAACTTTTGGCGAAAAGTCTTTTCTCTTCGAGTTCACCACTTTCTCAAGGATATACTTGATCTCTCAGTTGGACACCTCAACCTGCCCATTGGTCTAGGGGTGATATGTGATTACTCCCCAAAAGAGTTATTTTTAGTAGCCTTTTTCACCTAGGTTTAGTTTGAACTTGAGCATGTTCAATAGCAATTTATAATTACTTAGTTTTACATATTTTGCATGATAGGAGCAGTGGGTTGTTAAGGGCTAAAATCAATTTTTCCTGTTGAAAATTGTTACACTGATGCTGTAGCATTACAGAAAATACTGAGCGGATGTTGTAGCAGTAGTCCAAGATCCAGATGATTAGGGGAAACTTTTGAATTGGGAGAACTGGCTCGAGCAGCTGTCATTTGGATGTATATCACTTGAAACGTGGAAATCTTGTATTGGGAGATGAAATTCACATCCAAGCTATAAAAGGGGACTATTTGAGCACAAAATGGGCGACGTTCAAGAGCCTTTTCAAGTACCCAAATTTCCATGTTAAATCTTCAAGCACATGAAAGACTAAGTCCTCTACCAGGGATTGCTGAAGCACAAGGGAATATTGCTAAGTAGCTTCAACAGTCAGCGAATCTCCATTCAAGGTCTTCTATTGAGAGAGGGAGTGATTTGAATGCTTAAACTTTTGTTGGATGATATTATGAATTTCATATTTTTATGTTTACTTTGATACTTATTTTATGGCTTAGAACTTGATGATTGTGAGTAGAAATACTTATAATTAAATATATAGTATTTTTTTGTTAAATCTAGAAATAACTTCATGCGATTTGCTAAATACCTTTGTGAGCATTGGTGTTGCTGAGTAGCATAGTGTATGCTGAAAAGTATACAACCAAGTGATTAGTGTTGTTAATATTTTGAGTCTTTAATTGATGAAAATTGTTAAAGTAGTTTAAAAGGTTTTAATCAATGTTTATCGTATAAATTGAGTATACAATGTTTGCATGAGATTTGAAGTTCAATATATTGTATCCATTGATTTGATAGCTGATTAAGTGCTTCTTGGAATACTGTAGCATGAACTGATGTTTTTCCTTATTGTTTTTAATATCTTCTTTTTAGCATCTCTTACAACTGATAAATATTATTTTTGCGAACTCTAATAATAACACTTTGCTCCCTGTGGGTTCGATATCTGTAGCATCAATTGCTTCCACTTTATTACTTGAGCGATACATATACTTGAATTAAATGCTATAGCATCTTACGTAGCATCAAGCTTTTGGCGCTATTTTCGGGGAGCATCAGTTTGATTTAGAGTTCTCTTAATTTTGCTTAATTGTTTGTTTTCTTTTGTAGGTATTCTTAGTTTCTGTTTTTACTAGTGTATGCCTCAAAGCGACAAAAAATTAGAGTCGTATGATCCAGAGACTGAAAGAACATTTCATAGAGGTCACCGTGAAGCTGATATGGTTGAATAAGGGAATATTATATTACCCATACTACAAAATGGAGAGAATGATGAGCTGCCAGTTGGCATTAGATCTGGGCAACCATATCAGAACTTGGATGATTGTAATCGCCCTATTCGTGAGCATGTGGTGCAAAATTAGATGATTTGTATCTGGGTATTGTGAGGCCAATTATTAATGCTGCGAATTTCAAACTAAATCCTATTATGTTCCAAATGCTACAATATGTGGGACAGTATGGAGGATCTGTTGCTAAAGATCCTAGGGCTCATTTAAGATAATTTATGGAGGTTTGTGATTCTTTTAATTCAACAAGGTGTTCAAGAGGAGGCGCTAAAGTTGAAATTATTTCCTTATCTATTGTATGATAAAGCATGTGTTTGGTTGTGTTCACTGCCACCATATGTTATAACATCCTATAATAAATTAGAGTAGAAATTATTGTGGTTGTTCAATATGCCAAATATGAATGCTAATCTTCGAAATGATGTAACTTCATTTAAGCAGTATGAAGTTGAAAGCTTGTATGAAGCATATGAAAGATTTAAAAAATTACTACGGACGTGTCCTATGCATGGATTCCCATATTAGACTCTAATAGAGATGTTTTATAATGGGTTAAATATACATACTCATATGGTGGTTGATGCTTCAACAAATGAAGCATTGCTAGATAAGACATACAATGAAGCATATGATATCTTAGAAAGAATCTCCATAAATGATTGTTAATATCCTAATATGCATAACACATTTGGTCAATGTGGTGATGTAGCAGTAGACTCTGAAACTTTCAACTCTATGGCATCTTAGATTTCAGCATTGACTGAAATGGTGAAGAAATTGCACAAATCAGGATGAATGTATGAAGTCAAAGTTGTATCTCTTATCACTTGCGTAGACCGTGGCAATGACCATAATTTTGATGAATGCCCCCAAAATCTGGAGTCTATCTATTATGTATGGAATTATTAAATGAATGATAATTCTTTTGGGAATACATACAATGCAAATTTCAAAAAGCATCATAATCTTTCTTTGAGAAGTTAGAATGTTGCCAATCCATGGCACCGGCATAATCAACAACAACATTATACTAAGCAAAGTCAAATACCACAGCCACATGCACAACAATATGTTGCTCAACCACAACAAAGGCAGAATTACCAAGGTCAATCTTCAAGCCAAACTTCAACTTAACACCTTTAGAAGCTATGATGAAAGAGAATCAGATAGGAGAAGTGGCTAATGCTCTAAATAGTCGATTGCAAGGATCACTTTATAGCAACACTGAGAATCCCAAACAAAATAGTAAAGAGCATTGCAAGGCCATTACCACAAGAAGTGGAATTCATATTGGGGAACCATTTGAAGTACCAAGGGGAAATAATGACATAGCTCATAAGCATGGTAAAAGGAAGAGCAAGAAAGTTGAGCCTGAATCGCATGAGAGTCAATTTACAACACTAGATATAAGGTTTATTAGTAATTCAAAATCGTTGCCAATAGCAGCCCCTGTTGCATCTGACGTTCAGTTGAATTTAATGCCTCAGCAACAACAATAAAGAATGCCTCCACCATTTCCATAACGCTTCAAGAAGATAAAGGAAGTTTAACAATACAAAAAACACTCGTAAGAACGGGTTACATCAGGTGTAACTATATTAAGTGTAATACGTCAAATTATCTTCAATCCAGGACATATACAGATAGTTGGGACTGAGGATCGTTAAAGGGGACATTCGATAAACGATACAATAAATATGTCAGATTCAGTGGTAGTGGAAAGTATGAGCTTAGAGAATGCTCGTGAACCCAGGAAAAGTAAGTTGTCATTTTTCAGTTCAAGAGGATTTGAAGGGAAGTACAATAAGATCAATTAGAGTATCACTACTTAGAATCGAACCTGAGCCAGATATCTACTAACCAGTTCCTCATATAATAATTACGCCTTTGCATAACGTTCTAGATGAGAGAATGAGCAAGGTAGCAGTTAGTGAGATGATAACATTACTTTTATAAGTCCAGTCAGGCTAAGGATGAAAGTTTCGATGCACGTAAATTCCAATTCTAATTCTGAGGCTTCTGGATGTTCAATGTAGGCTAGTGTGATGTCCTGAGATCCACGTGAAATTCCTCTGACCACACCACTAGACCCACCTCATGTTTGTGTCAGTTATACATGCATAGTTATGTCAATTCAATATAATCAGGTAAGCTTCCGATGCACGTAAATTTTGGTTCATACCTTTACGACTATTCTGTATTTAGGGTAGATTGGGGTGTTGTTTCGATATGCACATAAATTCCTCCGACCACTCCATCAGACCTACTTTATATATGTTTGTTAGGTCATACATTTATGGTTCCGTCAATTTAGTATGTCCGATATGTTAAAGCTTGGCTTGAAGGCTATGTGAGACCAAGCCAATGCTTCAATTTGTGTGGGAATTGTATTGATGCTATGTGATATTTGGTTCCCCTCCTTGATCTACCTGATGGCTATATGGGGACTAGGAGATCATTTTTTATGTTTTGTGAAAATTACGCCAATGCTATGTGATATTAGGGTTCCCTCAGTAACTAGTCTCTGAGAGCTATGTGAGACCAGATACTAGTCAGGTTTTTATTCAGTTAGTGCACAGCATGTCATGGTGCATTCAGGTAATGCATAGTATGTTTATGTTGCATTTAGGTAATGCATATCAGTACAAGCTTTTGGGTTAGAGACCTTTTAGAGGTGTTCTCATGGGGAGACCCTTAGTAGAGGATTAAGGAAAACGTGAGACCCTTACTTTAGTCGTATAGCAGTAAAGCCTTAAGTAGGTAGCACTTGATCTAGGTCATGCATGCACATACTGCTTAATACCATGTCTTTAACATACTTTTGTTTATGAAATTCTTATGCTACTCTAGATTAACGATTATATTGTTGGGCTTTGTAAGCTCATCCTTCGAATATTTTTCATTGGCAGGTCAGTAACATGGGTAGTTCGTGGAGCACCGTCGAAATAGAGCTTCCAACATCTCTAACAAAGAACTGTACTGTAGCTTTAGTGTGCATATGTATTCATAGGACCTTAATCATATATTCAGTTTATTAAACTCAGTGTCTGTATTATTTTGGTTTAAATCATATGTCACGGAGCTCCGGTTTTGTAAAATGATTTTTACAATAATTATTTAAGTCCTTTTATGATACAATTCAGTATGTTTGAAAAGGAAATAAATAGTGTTTAAAAATCAAGGGTCACCTCAGTGGCACAGTGTGGCACTTTAGGCCAAATCGTGTTTATGGTGTTATATTTAGTGGTATTAGAGCGTCAGGTTAAGTCAGTCCTATGACTATGTGGTCAGTTCTAGTAAGGTGTCAGTGAATACATTCCCCTAGGCACTTAAAGTACTTGTATAAGTCTGGAATCCTGATGGTGTTTCTTTTCTAAATCTGTGTTATAGAGCGTTTCGATGGCTGATAGTTCCGAGCATAGTTTTGAAAATAGTATAGAGAGTTGAGCCTTTCATCCAGATAGTTTTAGTAGGGAGGTAGAGGATGAAAGGATTCCATTAGGCGCAAGAGTCACAGAGTCAACCTTTTTCTCACATTTGATCTCCAATCTCAATGACATAGCGGACGCTATTCCTGGAGTACAGACTGTTCAGCCGGCCACCCAGAGTGCATTAGTAGCGTCAGAGACCCAGTAAAGAGACTAAGGAGGTATAAGATAGTCGAATTTTATGGTTTAGGGGATGATGATCTGATTTTGGTCGATCACTGGTTGAGAGAAACCATTAGGACTTTGAGGCAACTTCATCTTAACCCAGAGGGTAAGTTAGAGTGCACCATCGCTTTACTCAAGGGTGATTCTATCGATTGGTGACATACTATAGAGATGTATCTACAACCATATGTACCTACGTGGGATCAATTATTAGATGATTTTAGAGGCAATTATATTGGTGATGCGCACATAGATGGTTTGAGGATACAGTTCTCTCAGTTGGTTCAGATGGACCACTCAGTGTTCGAGTATGAGAGAGATTTTCTCCGGTTAAGTGGTTATGCTCCAGAGTTAGTTGTAATTGTGTCCTTGAGGTGTAAGAGGTTCCTTGAGGATATACATATTGATATTCATGAGAAGTTGGTGACAAACCCTCGTAAAGTGTTTTCTAAATGGACACGACATACTAAGGTCGTGGAGATAATATAAGTTATGAGGAAAAGTTTGTTGGGTAAATCAGGTAGCCCGAGTATGAGGACTTATGTGCCAATAGACCAATCTCAATCGTTGGCTGAGAGGACCAGAGGTCCACGTGAGAAAATGAGAGTGACGTCAGCTTTTTCACTCCAGCCGAGTCAGAAGTCAAACGTAGGGTCTCATAGGAGACCGCCATCTTTTCCATTTGTGACGAGCTCTAGAGGCTCTGATGGAGTTTCAAGGTATCCAGAGTGCAAGCATTGTGCAAAGAATCTTCGAGGAATATGCTTCAAGCTTTCTAGGAAGTGTTATGGATGCGGATCTTTAACACGGATGGTGAAGGATTGTACTAGTTCAGTTAAACTTGGTTTTATGCTCAAACAGGAGAGTACATGAGTAGTTCAACCTATTTCTGGTTCGACGATGTTTGATCTCATTTATAAGATAGCAGAGGGGTAAGGTCAGATGTCGAGGACATATATGAGATGTCAGGTACTTTTTTCAAATGTTTCAGCTTTTTATGTTGCTTTAGTAACCATGAGTTCATGGATTCTTTTGTGGTGTTAAGTAAACTAAATAGAAAAAGTCCTCGTGTGAGGATCTAAGTGTTGAGTTGGTAGACCTTAGTAGAATAAGCAATTTACCTTAGATATTATTTGAGGGTTCGTGTGATCGACCCGTAGAGAATTTCAAAATCCCAAGTTCAACAGTAGATATGAAGATCTCTACAAGTGTTAAGAATACACATGTCTCTTTAACTAATATCTACCTCAGTCAGTGCCACGGCACTTCAGTTGCTAACAGGTCACAGATGCCCCAAGTACTCTCGAGGAGTAAGCTAACAATGTATATATTCTGATACTAAGAGCACTAAAGGTCAGGTAGGGAGTTGTGAGTCTCGAAGTGCAGAAATTCCTTCAATTTTTTTTGTATGTATTTGTGCATGATCAGTAAGTGAATCAACTAGGTGAGTCAAGTCTTCGTCAATAATGTCTTCGTGTTGTATATGAATGTGATCTATATATCACACTCATTAATGTGCAGCGTTGCATAGTATCATTGAATTTGGGTGCTTCAGATTAAAGGAAATCAAGTTTGTTGTAATACCTAAAATTTTGGTTAGTGACCAAAATATAAATTTCGAAAGTTTGGTGGCAAAATTAGAAAATTGGGAAAAGTTTAGGGACCTAAGTGGTAATTTTCCTAAAAAGATTTTTTTTTCATAAATGGATAGTTTACTCTTAAGATTAGGGTTTTATTGAAATCATTTCTTGATATGGAAATTGTGTTAAAACTAGAGAGTATTAAAGTTCGATAAAAATTCGATAAATCGGATCGAATAGAAATTTCAGGAAAATTTGAAGGATGATAAATTAAGCTTAGAA